GAGAGTATTTATCACATATTGGCAAGTGTCTTTTCAGTTTTAGCTTGCACACTAAATCAAGTTGTGTCACAAAAAGACTTTGGGCACAATTCAAACCAACACGGATGGATTTTGAAGAAGACCCACAAGCGGACTGTCTGTGGACTGTGTACAGAACGAGCATGTTTTGTTTTGTTTTGTTTTTTTGTATGTTTTGTGTCGGAAAAGTCGGTTCGTATGGGGAACGAGTCGCCGGTGATCCAATGTACATTATGTAAAATAAAGCACGTCTTGTGATCGAACGTTTTTGACAAAAATGACGTCATTGGCCATGGCAGTTCTCCCAGTTTTGAAAGTGTTTGACCAACAATACTGGTTCACAAGTTGTTTTGGTTTTTTTTTTGTCTTTGTGTATTTATTTCCCTCATAAGCTTTGTGCTCACTCTTTTAGAAACTGTTTCCAGCCATAAATTAACTGGAAACGTATTCAACACACAATTAAGTGTGTTACGATATAAAAGCTGAAACACTTTTTCTTTTCTTTTACTTGTTGAGTCTACAGGCAAATAAATTCCCATCATTCATTAGTTGATGAAAAAACACCATGTTTAAAAACCCACTTAATTGAGTTGTGCATTTGAAACAACAAAATGTGTCTGTCATGCAAAGCTGAATGCATTCTTATTGTCTCGCTTTCAAACTCAAGTGACGTCTGTGGGAACCATATTTGGTTACTTCCACTCAAGTTGACACCGCGGGCCTCGCTGCGAAAGAAATGTAACTATGGGATTCATCGTAGTCAATCAGCCGGGTTCGAAATACAGAGTATAGTTTTCATGAAAGAAATGCCATCAGTCCAGGCTGTTTCCCGCCTCTCGCCCAACGTCAGCTGGGATAGGTGAATAGGTTCCAGTTCATCCACGATGCTAATGAGGACAGGCAGCGTAGAAAATTGACTGATAGATGAACGAAATGTGTCGGCCAACCCAGCATGTCTCGCCTGTGCATCACGACTTCTCAAATTGTACTGACAAAACAAATTGGAGCGTACCATTGTATCTGACGGTTAATTGGTGAACAACTTTGCTGATTTGTTAGTGATTGTTTGTCTCTTTGTATGTTAGCTAGCAAGCTACTTCTTGGTTGATTTAGTAGACGGTGCGAGACCGTATGTATTGCAAACTGGAACAAGATGTTCTTGTGTTGTCTTGTATTTGAAAACTTGAAAAACGGAACATTGAGAGGTAGATTGAACAAAATAAATCCACCAAGTCAGACCAAACAATGTCTTTAGAAAAAGAAATGCAGCCAACTGTGTGATTTATTTATTGTTGTCTTTTGTTAGGCACGGGCGCCTCTTCTGAACTGAATGGGTGGGAACAGAACCATTTGTGCTGAGGATCTTTTAAAATGGCTTTTGTGCATGGTGACACGTGAATGTTGAAAGCGTCAAAAATTAATGTGATGTGATTAGTGTGATGAAACACTTCAACACAGAAGACGCACGTCAAAACCTCTATAGCAGGGGTCAGGCAAGCATGACCTGTGGGCCACACGCAGCCCACCCCATTCTTTAATCTGGCATATGAAGCATTTACACTAGTCCTGTCGTATTTGTTGCTTTGATTTAAATAAGTGCCATTCCTGCGAATAAATTTGTATATATACTGCAGAGCTTTTCTCTGTATTTGAAGATATGCATAAACCGTTCATGATTAAAAGAATAACACAATTTATCTTCAAAACACTATAGTGAATAAAGATAATTCAATTTTAGAGGCAAAAATTGTTTCTCTCACATTGTGCTCTCTGGCAGATTTATGAAGACATCACATTAATGATCCTCAACAAACTGACAAATGGTCACTTTACTCCAGTTTTTTTTTTTTGTTCTAAATGTGGAGATGGGATTCAGCTGTTGTTAAATGCAGAGCTGGATCCCCTCTGTGTGATAGAAGGCTGTTGGCCACGCCAAAAACCTGGAAAAATCCTCAACTGTTTGCCTTGACAATACAAACAATATATAATTGCTTTCTTGATTGACTTTCATGTCTTTCATAAAGTTTAAGAATTTTAAAGCTTTGGACACCCCCTGGCATATTTGGTTTGTTTGGCAGGGTTCACTGAGTGCCCTTCCTGACATCCCACTCACTTTTTATCTTATGTTTGGGACTGTCAGGGGCTGGGTGTTGGGGTTCGGCTAACCCTAAGGTCTCAACTTGCAAATGTCACATGACCGAACCCAGAAAACAGGTGACCTGTGGTTGGACGTTGCCTGAGCACTTATTCTGTGAGCTGGCTAAAATTGGGTAGATTTTGCTGCTTAATTCATATTACACAAACATGTTGAATAACATGTTTAGACTGGTGTTCTTTTTCTTGTTAAAAAAAATTACAAATATTTTTGTTAATTGGGGTGTTGGAGGCTGGAACAGTTTAATGGCATTTCCATTAATTACAATTGCGAACGATGAGATACAAGTATTTGAGTTACAATCGTGGCTACGGAACAATCTCGTATCTCAAAGCACCGCTGTATGCCAAAACACTTTAGGACATAAGCGACAGTACATATATTATATGACTTTAAAGGCATCCGCTCATCTCAGCCACTCTCATGGCGCGTCAGAGAACTTTTGAGGCCTTCCCGAAAGCTGCAGACTGGTCAGACTAACCGTGAAGTGAGTTTTCAGATTTTTTCAAGGGGGACAACTGCGAAAACGATTGAGTGGACCTATTTGAGTGTTGTCATTGTGTTTGGTTAATTGTCACGGCCTTTGAGGCTTGACAGAGGACTGGAAAGGGAGCAAATGGGATCAAGTGGTTGCTCTCCCATTGACAACGAGCCAGCAGTACAAACAGAGAGCAGCTGGGCTACATTACACTCCTTCCTATGCTGCTTTCATGCGGTGACGTCCTTCTCCTTTTTGTCGTCCTTGCCGTCCACTAAGCAGCCGCGGTGGCGATCCACTCACTTTAATGATGTCAAGTGCCGATTCATTAAAGGGCTCACAGTGCAGAGGCAAGTCAATGTGATTTATTATGCGCAACACATGCAACTTATTGCAAGGAGATGATGAAAATGATGAAGGCCTCACCTATTAGGTCACAGAGGGGATTTGGTGATTTTTTATTTATGTCATCTATTTTCCTTTCAGCACAGTTGACTTTTCAGTCTACATATCTTATAATGTGACGTGTGTGTGTGTGCGTGTGTGTGTGTGTGTGTGCGTGTGTGTGTGTGCGTGCGTGCGTGCGTGCGTGCGTGCGTGCGTGCGTGCGTGCGTGTGCGCGTGCAAGTTTAAGCCTCCTGTTAAACATCAAGTTGACAAGTTTTATCCATCCATTCATTATCTGATCTACTTATCCTCAACGGGGGTCACAGGGGTGCTGGAGCCTATCCCAGATGTCTTCGGGTAGCAGGCAGGGTACACCCTGAACTGGTAACCAGCCAATCTCAGGGCACACATAGACAACCAACCATTCACACTCACTGAGGGACAATATCGAGCGTTCAATCAACCTACCATACATGTTTTGGGAATGTGGGAGGAAATGGGAGGACTCTGAGAAAACCTTCGCAGGCACGGGGAGAACATGCAAACTCCACACAGGGCCAGAATCGAAACTCGGACCTCTGCACTGTTAGGTGAACATATGCTACCCAGTCGACCACTGTGACGCCATAGATACTTGACTTTATATTGGGCAGCACCATGTTTTATTGGCTAGCATGTCCACTTTGGAGCTTGAATCTTGGCTGTGGCTTTCTTGTGTCCGTGTGTGTGTGTGTGTGTATGTGTGTGTGTGTGTGTGTGTGTGTGTGTGTGTGTAAGTGTGTGTGTCCCACACGGGTAGATGGTGTATTACAAATTCTGTACAATCCATCCATCCATCCATTTTATTTTTTTTTGGGGGGGGGGGGCGTTTGCTCTCATGGGGGTCACAGGAGTGCTGTTGCCTATATTTTAGGTTGGTTCCACACAGGGGAGCCGAGTGAAAATGAAAACTCAGGATCCCTCAACTGTGAGACAGATGAGCAAACCTTTTGGCATGGGAGGCAAACACATGTTTGCATATATCCTCTACATTTTGTTAGTTTATACTGTAAAAATTACAAAACATGCAGTGCCTCAGTGACCCATGAGCATTTGACCCTAGTTTGCTCGAGGCACATACATCCAGGAGGGTTTAAGGACTGTCACAAAGGTATGGGGCCAACCCAGAAAACGGAATATATTGGGTAACCTTGTTAATACTGCCACACAGTGGTCAAGGGTTATTGCGTGTCAAGAACTAATCTCAAAACTACTTTTCCATCCATCCATCCACCATCAATCCATTTTCTATACCGCATCTGTGAGATTGAGCGGTGAGTACAAGTGAGCAGGTCAACTTCCACACAGGAAGGCCAAAAAATTGCGTGCGGTGCTGCTTAATTTAACCATTTATAATTAAGTAATTTGAATTACAATTTTTTTTCATAAAAGAAGGTTACACATATTGTATGCGAGAATGTTTTTACTCATGAATTTTATTCTATTATGATAAATCAATTTTAAAAATTAGTCATTGATATACATGAATAATAATAAAGTTTTAATACATTCAAAAAAAGGAACCAAAACATTCAATTGATCAGTTTTAGGTTATACAGTATTCCTGTTCCAGAAAGACACGTCGTGAGTGCGTGTGCATGTGAGTGCGTCTGTACGTGAGTTTGCGTTCGTGTTTGTGCCTGCAATTAAAATCTGTTCCACTGAGATTATAAACCACTATATTGTCTTTATGAGATATGCACTGTAAGAACGTTTCCCCATATGGAGAGCCAGTGAGAAAGGCGCAAGATCAAAGACTCCCAACATTGATGATTGTACATTATTGAAGTCAAAATACTTGATTCGTATTACTTTAACGTTTCTTAAAATGCAGTGATCGACGCGCTATTCCCAATGTCCATTTTAATCGTGGAGAAAAAAAAATAAAAAGCGGAACTAAGAATTGTGTTTTTTTTCCTTAGGCGGAAACCAAGCCGTTGCTCACGGTGGGGAAGGGTTTTACAAACGGACTTTGATTTTGATCTGTTTTTATGCCTGCAGAATCTACCAGTGTGATTGTTTCATCTTCAAATTAAAATTGGTATGTAGACAACTCTAATTTTTATCATAAAGATGATAAAGAATACAGTTTTCACGCATCTGCATGTGGTCGTCGTTTTCTTGCAGAGGCCTTGGCAGCTACTGATAGCCACTTGATGCTAAGATGCTAAATGGTTTTGCATTGAGCGACAGCCTGTATTGACAGACAGCGAGCAGGGCGCCTAAATGGCTACATTTCATTGTACCGTTTAATGTCAGCATTTCAACTGCTCTCATAATGCTCAAAATGAATATTTTCGTGTTTGGTGGTTTGTGCTTCACTTAAATTTCCTTAGCGACGGCGCCACAGCTGACAATGTGATATGATGTCATGTGATTTGATGCTAACAGTAGTGCTAATAAAGTTGAACTTGGTCGATGGTTGGTGCTTCTCGCGAAACAACAGTCATAAAGCTGTAACCAGATAGACTAGATCCTTTGATGAGCCCCTTAAGAGAGTACTTTGCACTGTTTTGATGTCAAATGGATTCGATATGATTTACCATGTATTGTGATTGAACTATGAACGTGTAATTTTGGCTGCAGGTTGTCCTCACTTTACAACCGAGTTCCGTTCCCACAGCAGCGACGTACTTTGAATCGTACGTAAGTATTGCACCGTGGTCCAGTCTTTCCCAACCTATATGTACTTATATGTATGCCGAAAAAATGACGATCTTGTCTCACTTTACAAACAAATGTGCTTATTCAGTGTTTCATTGTCGGTCTTGCACCAGTTGAGAATCATTGACTTAAGAAATGAAAGCATATGGTTTGATTAAAAAAAAAAAAGTAACATGTTGTCTCTTCTCCAGCAGGTGGAGGGATGAGTCGCTCCCCTGTGATTGACACAGAGGTGCCGGAAATGGCAAACGGGGTAGCGACACCTCCCTCTTCGGAAAACAGTCCTCATATCGCAGGTTCGTTGAATTGTGTGGGACTCAAAGAGGACTTCCCCGAGGAGGGGTCAGAAGAGGGCTCCCAGAGACACACAGAGAGCCACAGAGTACATGATCACCGTTGTTTGGACACCGAAATCGGTGACGATGTCAGAACAGGTCATTTTTCCCCACACCCATCTCACGAGATGGACCTCTCCCCCTCTGAGGACATATACACCACACACACTGACTATGTAGTCGATCCGGCGGGCTTGGGCGCTGTGCAGCTTCTGCAGCAGGACTGGTCAGGGAAAGCGTCGTCCGAGCATTCGTCTTGTAGAGGACATCCTGTCACCACAGAGATGGACAGTGGAGAAGAGGAGAAAGAGAAACAAGATGAAGAGGAGGGTGAGAAGAATGACAAGAAGTGGCGGAATGAGTCTGCGCGAGAGAGAAAGGAGGTTGAGGTGGGGTCGTCTGCATTTATTATATGTCAGTGTGTGTAATTGACTTGGTAATTGAACTCCTTTCTGCTTCCTTCCTTGACCCACCCCCGCACCTACATTCCAGACTTTACGTCACTACTCCTCCTCAGCACCTGGCCCCAGCACCTCCTCGTCCTCCTCCCCGCCGCCACCACCACCTCTTCTCCCCTCCGATGACACACCTTGCCCCCCTCACGTCATGGCCCAGGTGTGGGTACGCAACGTCCGAGGGATGCAGGACAGCAAGAGCCTGGATGAGATCAGCCAAGCGTGTGGAGGTAGAATTCGGATTTCTAAACAACCACTTAAGGGCTTCCACTTTTAAATGTGTTGAGCTCTCATCTCCATAGTAGGAGCGGGGGTCCGGGGGGCAGGCAGAGGGAGTCAAACCGAGGGTCGACGGGCAACCATCTCCTCGGCCCTTGAGCTGGAGGGCACTGTCAGCCACGAGGGAGACCTGACCAACTTCATCACCAAGAACCTGGAACAGAAAATTAAGATGAGCTCAAAGCCCAGTCTGGACTGCAGTGACTGTGAGTATGACAGTGGTGGAGCAAAGACATTCGTCTGTCAGGAATATGTTACATGCGGGTTTTTGTGATGTCCAAAAAAAAAAATAATAATTTCAAAACTTTTTTTCAACAATAATATGATCTATAATCTGTATATTCTCTCTCTCTCTCTCTCTCTCTCTCTCTCTCTCTCTCTATTTGTGTGTGTGTATAGTTTACTTTCATGACAATATTGTCTCTAAAGCTAAACTCATATGGGCAAACAACAGACAAAATGCTACAAAAAGTATTCTGCCATCTCGTGGAACAGCATTTGATTGTTCTGCCTCTCACTTTATGTGACTGCCTTAGACAGAAGAGTAAAGGTATGTGCGTTATTTGTCGGAGTTCTAATTTTTGGGCCAGTGTGAGTGAGTTTTTCCTGCGTCACACCCGATGATGTTACATTGGGGGGAAAAAAGATGCCTTCTCCGGTCATCTGATATGAAAAGCGTAAACCGAAACATTCACAATTCCGTCCTCATGTTTTCGCCTTCTAATGTCTTACATGTGAAATTCTTGGCAGCGGATTGTTCGGGTCCCATCTACCGTAGCCGAGGGTTGTCTCGACGACCGGCAGATATCCCGCCCATTGATCCAACCGTCCTTGTCGACCTGCAGAGGCACACTCAGGAAGTGGCGCAGAGTGTGGAGACGATGATGCGCAGCCTCAACGGAACCATCCAGAATGTGAGGGCTTGAGCATTCGTGGCGAAGTGAACGTTTCCTTCATTTGGTTGCGTTGAATGATCCTCCTCTCTCTGCGCCTCTGACTAGATGACGGCTTTGAGCGTTGGCTACATTCAGACATACAGAGACTCGGTGGACAGCCTGGGAGAATCTGTGGACATGAGTATTAAGGTGATCAGCCACAATTCTGACACGCTACATTTCAAATAAAGGTTATCTTATCTTTAATTTTTAACACTTTAGTTATGTGATATGAATTCTAGGCCTTATCACTCAACTCTGTCTCCATTTGAAAATTTAGTCAAAGAGAGAAATGTGAAAAAATGATTTGCATACAGTCTTAAATTTATCAAAGTCTATCGTACATTAAATTAGTTCCGCCCTGACTTTCTCCATTTTTCCTCTTGTGTTTTCGGGCGCTTAAAGCGCAACACATAATTGTGTTTGACAAACTCTTGCTTCCTGCTCCCTCGCAGGGCATGTACACGCTGATGGCGCGTTGCGAGGAGTTGGACCGCTCCATGCAGCCCATCAACATCCTGGCGGCGCAGATCCGAGACATCAAGCGAACTCTGGACGCGCTGGAGGCCATCTGCAAGTAGCTCCGGCCAACATTAGCGCTTCGCAAAGACTCCAACACCAAGCACACCCCAGGAGGTCCTCTGCAAGTAATCCCACCTTTCTGCACTCTTTGCAACCGGGCTCATCTTTTTGCAGTACCAGGCATGCTGGATGATTTGGCCCTTGCTCGTTACGGAACGATAATCTTGTTTGTGCATTGTACTCGTTCAAAAGGCTCCGTTGTGAGACCGTTGAAGACGCGAGTGTTGACCTCCGCTTTGAGGAGCAAAAGTATCCGTCCGGGAATCTTTGTTCAGGTTGCACTAACCTCTCCTTCCCACATGGGGGCGATGTTTCTCTGTTTTGCTCCAAGGACAGTGATTTTTATTTTTATCTTTTTGGAGGTGGGCTGGGCGCTATTTTTAATAAAATGCAATAAAGGCACACACATCCTTCACTGCAGGCCAAGCGGGGGAAGGTGAGCATGACGGAGAGCTGCTTGTATTTATTTTTATTTATTTGGTTACATTGCAAATTTGTAAGTACAGTAACTTTCTTTGGGACTACTGAGATGCCAAAGCGCCATTTCGAAGCGTTCACCGTGTTTCATGATTGCTACCTAAAGGACAGATTAAAGCTAGTGATTGATGTTTCATTGCCCCCTATGTCAGATTTTTTTTTTTAATTACTAACCTTCATATCACAGGTGCCTGCATGGACAGTTCTTGTTCATATTTTGTCAGCCAAGGTCAATGTCGCAGCTCCAGATTTGGAGTTCAATGCCATAACAAGTTTCCATGACGGACATTTCGATGATGTTCGGTCATCTTCAGAATTGACTATGATATGAAATCACTGTAGTGTCGACCCTATAAACCACTCAAACAAATAGATTCACTTGGGGATTCATTGATAACAAAATGAGCTTTTTGGACTGTGCTGCTAATAAAACTGGAAAAAAAAAGTGAAGGATTGCTGTTTACAATCGGTTGCTAGTTCGCCTACTTCATGTTGTTTTCTGTCATGGGGCATCATCTACTGTTATGTCATATTTGATTCAATAAATTCACTCGGGGGCACCAAGAGTGTAGTGTAGTAGTATTTGTATATTTGGGGGGGGGGATATTACTGAGGAAGAGCAGAAAAAAAAAGTTGAATGTTTGAATTGATATAGCTGGGGTTTTTTTTAACCCTCTTATTATCCTCCAATAATACTCACACATTTTACTCTTGGGGTCAATTTGACCTCAGCGATATTTGGCTCCAGAAAAAGATGTACCATATTTTCTGCACTATAAGACGCTTCGGATTATAAGGCTTACCTTCAATGAATGGCCTATTTTAAAACTTTTTTCATATATAGGGCGCATTGCATTATAAGGCACATAGGATAGAAGCTACAATAGTGGATGCAGTTGCGCTTTGCATCCACTAGATGGAGTGACTCTAAAAGGAATACAATACAATACAGCTTTATTTATAGCAAGGGTCTCAAACTTGGGTCCTTGAGGGTCACTTTCCTGCATGTTTTCCGTCTCTCCCTGCTGCAACACACCTGTATCAAATGATCAGCTCACCAGCAAGCTCTGCAGAAGCCTGATAACAGCCCTGATCATTTCAAGGAGGTGTGTTGCAGCAATAAAAATGGTTGCTTGGATTTGGAATCTGTTTTGTTGGCAGTGGTATGATGACTTTTTTAGGGATTGCTCATCAACCACTTTTTCCACCGGTAAAATGGAAAAGGTGACAGGTGTTACAGTACCACTGCGCATTGGCACATCCTGAGAAAGTTGTACGCAAACGTGCGTGATATGTCCAAACGTGCGTGATATGTCCGCAGTCTTGCTTAAAGGCACTTCAGTTTGGTCCTGTAACTGAAGGTTGCGTCAGTTCACACACAGACGCGCAGTCACCAGCAACAACAAAACGGTGCAACGGTGCAAAGCCAGTGGGGCCGACGTGCTTCCACTCGGCTCCATCGTCGAGGCACCCTTTGTTATGGAATCTGTTGTCAAGGTCGCGGAAGTCCCTGCTAGCTCTCCGGAAATTTGCTCAAGCGTCCCATCCACAGAGATTCCGTCTTTGGGGGACTGCTGATCTGAGACGTCCCGATCTGAAGTCTTGTACCACTGACATTGGAAGTCTTTCTTCCACATCTCAACTGGGTCCGGTTCAGCTGCCTTAGCGTCTGGATCGGGCTTGTCTGTGGCTTTGGCTGCGTCTGCCTGCCGGGACAAAATGGTTAGTGGCGGGACTTGAATTTGTTACTTCGGGGCATTTTAATTGAATGAAAATATTTGACAGGGTAAGCCATCCATCCTTTTTCCGATGCTGCTTATCCTCATTCATGTGACAGATGAGCTGGAGGCTCTCACTGATGACTTTGGGCGAGCGGTTGCTGGCAAAGCGCAGGGTACATATAAACAAACATTCATACAATATATCAACAATTTAGAATCTTAAATAAACCTAACATGCATGTTTTTGGAATGCGGAAGGGTGTTGCAATATCCGTACAGGGAAGAAGGTGCAAAGTCCACACAGGAAGGCGATCGCCGCGTCTCCAACCCCAAACTGTGAGGCAGATATGCCACTCGCTTGCGCACTGCGCTACACCGCAAACTTGTTTCGTCAAATGTATTTGAAGTCAACAAAACGACAATACAGTACGCGTCCGCAAACGAGCTTCCCGTTTATTTCTTGGCGATGTCGCTTGCGTTTCTTCAAACGGTTTCAAACTGTTAAAACAAAACAAGAAGAAGGCGGCATTTTTCACCATTGAAAGTGCTCCAACTATGTGAATAGGATGTTGTTTTCATTAAATGGCTGTAGAAAAATACGCGTGGCGCACTATATCAAGCCATGCAGTGTGATACAAAATCAGCTGGGACGGTTTGGATTTACCCCTTGTTTGATGTTGCGCATTTTAAACAGATTTGCCCATTTCCATTCATGGCTTCCACTGGAATGAGGCATCGAAAAGGACATCATCATCGTTATCCATGAAATGCTTAATATGCGTAACACACGCAACCACGAACAACCATCAATCACTGTTTCTGTCACCTTCTCTATCACGTCAGCGGGTGGTGGAAGGTGGAGGTAGGTGGAGCTGTCTGGATTCTGACGGACACATCTGCCTTTTCCCTCGCAGAGGGAGGCTGAGCAGATCCCGGTTGCCGTTGTTACGTTCATGGAGTAAGGTCCCAAGACCTTGCGGACAAACTCTCCCAGGTCCTGACATTCTCTCTGCATATGGACGGACACAAAAAAACACATTGGAAGTGATGTTTATGCGCACTTGATTTCATTTTGTATTATTTTATTGCCGATATGTTCATTTTCATTCAGAAACAGACATTGATGACTGCAAGATGATGTGGACAATAGACAAAGTAGCTGCAGTCGAAACATAGATTTGCCACGCGTCCGTCCACCACCTGTCAAAAATTATAAATTGGCTCCTCCGAAGCATGTTTGCGCTTCTTCAAAATGTCATCCTGGCATTTGCCTTACCTCTGTCCTGGTCTCACTTCTCTGCCAGATGACCACCCCGGCTGTTCCCATGGCAGCGCTCTCACCAATGCTGTTGACCAGGTCTGCCTGGAAGAGGACAGCAAGGTGCGGAAGACACTGAACGTGTTTGTCATCTTGCATTGCCGAGCCACATTCGTTCCGTTGAGACTTTTTGTGGTCTTTCTGAAATGTGCCAAGATGCCACAAGGTGGCTGCAAAGCCTTGTCAAATACAAAAGAAGTGCTTTGGTGCTATCGTGTGGTATTTTGTTACCAAGGGACTACATATGTTGAAGTGAGGGGAGGAGCTTCTTTCAGACAGGCCGAAGTGGTGGCTCTAGAAAAGTACCAGTAATGCTTTGGTGCCATCTTGTGACATCTCTTGGTAATGCTAAACATTTTGGGGGGTTCAGGGCATTTTATAATTTTTTTCCACTGACCACGCACAATGCATCCCTGCCCCAAAAAGTGCTTTTTTTAAACTGAAAATTGAAACATTTAAGCACTTCACCTTTGCGTTCATCCAAATCACACGTATCTCCCACCTGAGAAAGGAAAGTGTTGGTCGAGGCGTACACACTGTTGACCAGTGGAAACACGGGAAGGTCGAACGACACTCCGGCCAAAGAGGAAACTCGCAGCGCCTCCTGGATTTGACTGGACAAATAAAGCTTCCCTCCGGATGTTCCGCCCTGTGTGAAAAGCGGGCAGATGGATACATTTTTACATGCAGATCCAGCAGAAAACCCCAAAACAAGACATCATCAGGATGTCCAAATCCCATCCGTTTGTGCATTACTTCTATCTTCTGTCAACCGACAGTAATGCATCAAGTATTTGCCGACGACTAAGACGGTAGAATAAGAAATGGAACAAGAAATAGTAGTCATGCAGTACTGCCGGTGATGGGGGAAAGGGGGGAGGGGCACCTTCTTTACAACATGGTGAGGAGTAATGCACCAGCACTTGGGGCATTCCGAATAACCGAGAGGCACATTAGAAGAATGCTATGGGTTCACGAATAGTCAGAGTGAAGTAGCGCATACTCGGAGCCCATTTCTGAAGGCAACCATGATGCAACGGCTACGAAGGCAACACACTTTGGAGGCTCTTCTGTTCTTGGTCTCCATTTTTGTAAAAATAAGATTTTCCCCACCAAAATGCGACGTACACTCTTGAGCAACTTATGTATTTTTTTTTTCTTCTTCATGGTGCTTTTTTTTTTTTCTAACCGATGCGACTTATATTCTGGAGCAACTCCCAAAAAAAATGTGTCGCACACAGGAAGAGAGAGTGTCACTGCCTCACACTCTATGTTCACATGCTTATCCCGTAATGAAACGCAGCGCAGCTCAGCGTCACCACCCCTGAGAGCAACCATGATGTGGCCCCCGTGATGGTTAACACACCTTCTTGCCTGTGTGGTGAATATCAACACTATCTGTGTCAAAGTGTAAGCATGCAAGAAGGGAAATCAAAACCGATCATGGCCCCAAACAACACTTCGGACCCTTCACCCACCTGTAGCTTCTCAAGAGTGAGAAGAGGGTATAGGGCGGAGCATCGCTTCCACAGCCACAGAAGCTCGTCGTTGAGGGCCTTTTCGGCAGGGGGGCACTGGCCGCTGTAATTGGCTAACGCGGTGAGCGCAGAATCGCCGTTGTAGCAGCTCGGGTAAGGGGAGACGCCCCATAACGCTTTGGGTCGCAGCCGTCTTATCTCCCTCAGGGTTTCCATCATGACGGACTGGGCTGCTGCCTCAAAGTCCACCTGGCACAACAGCATGGAAATAAGTCAGCTTTGCTCTTTCTTTTTAATCCACAATTGCGATTGGCAGTTTCATATGTCAGAAATGTTCTATAATGTCAGCAGGAGACGATTTGTATTTCAATGTCATATTTCACAGTAAAGAAAAAGTCTTGATTCGATTTTTAGCAGTACATTTGAGCCATCATCCAGCGCACTCTACACTTCCAAAAAAAAAGGACAAAAACCTCTGAGGATGCATTATTAAAAGCCCCGAAACATAGAATCCAAAAATGCTCATCGCATATATTACAGTAATCGGTTTATTCAATTGTTGCATCCTATGTTTTCGTTAACGTAATGTCTCTCCAACTGAAATGGGAAAAACGCGTTACGTTAAAATTATTCTTTTTTTCCCCCTTGCCTCGAGCACACTGGAACATATTGTTCCAAAGGAGGCCAGAAATAATGACTTGTCTGACAGCAGTCCATGTTTCTTTTGTGCGATGGTCCATCAGAGTTGCATCTCGACTCAGAGGGAGGTCCACAACAATCTTTCACTCAGCCTCTTTTATGTTTCATCCGAATAACCCTGCTGAAAAACGATGGTATTGGTTGTTTTTTGATGCATTTAAGTGTTTTAGTTTCCGTCCTTGCAGTGAAACCGAGTCCCAAAAGTTGATAGATTTGGATGTAAGCTAAATGTCCTCAATTGATCTGTGTGCCGAAGCACCACTCGCTTCAAAATTTTGCCTTGCACCAAATCTTTTATTGTGTCACCTGGCAAGAATAGCTGCATATTTGCAATACTAATAAAAACAATTTTCAATTGATTAATAGATTCGATATTATATGACTTACACAACGCTCAAAATAAGCAGTTTCGCATTGCAGTTCGAGAGACAAAATTTGCACTCCAAAACATTTTGAAGTGGACAACTGAGAGTCAACCACTAAACAGTCCCAAAAGGTTATTGCTGGGCTGGACATGCAAGCGTTATAATGGAACAACAACGTGCCAGACGGAGGCCGAGGCCTCAAGTAGCTCAGTGTTGACGCCGCAGCAGCTAGCTACAAGTAGCAACGAGCTTCGATTGCACTGCCGCACCTGAACACGTTGCAGTCACACCTAAGTCGGTAATCATCACCGCTGTTGCGGCGAATAAGCTACGCTTCTGTTCTGACAAATATCGTTCTCACGAAGAGATGAGGAGGAAACATGGAAAAGCAAAGCTAATTGCTAAAATAGCCTACGCAGCTAGCGTATTTAACCCAGAAATGAAGTGCTTGGGTGATCGAGTTCACTTTTCATAGACGTCGGGCTGGAACCGCGGTAAAGTGGAGAACATCCAACTTTGGACAATACATACACACATAAAATGTAAAAAAAAAAAAAAATTAAAAAAGCAAAACTAATCCTAAAACTAATAAAAATTAAACTAAAACGCAACATTTCCCCAATAACTAAAACCAATTAAAATTAACAAACCCACTCTGAAAAGTGATTGAAATTAAGCCAATTCAAAAACAAAACTCAAAATGAATAATAAAAATTCCTAAACTATTAAGGCTCGACTTGTTACTGTATTCACTCCTCTCACTGCCACATTCTGTCCTTCTTACCCTTGACCACTTCTCCACCTCCTCCGGTGTCCAGTTAGGGAAGAAAGTTTTCAGCAAGTTCCTCGATGCTTCTTGATACACGGCCTTCTTCTCTCGATTCCTCAACCACTGCGGTAACCACTCAGCCCAGTGCAGCACCCCCAGGCCGAGGTACCTGGGCGTAGGCAAAGCTGCATCTAAGTCCAACTGAGTTTTCTGAAGATGGCTGTCCAGTCGCGTGTGCTGCGGTAGACCCCCATTAACCCTCGTGTCTTTGTCGATAAAATACGGGTAGCTTCCCAGCGTGTCCTCATAGAAGACCGCCACACGGCCCTCACGTTCCATCCCAAAAGAACCAGGATCTGGCCTCATGGTGCAGGAGGAATCTGGGATGCCCCAAAAAATTATAAAAGGCTGTCCGGATAGGAGAGGCGGGCGCGCTTGTTGTGGCGGAGCAGCCATGCTGAGGCCAGCAAGCAGTAAGACAAGGAAGGTCCGTGGAACTGTCGTCCGTCCTCGTAGGCCAGCTGAAGAGCAAGAAACGACTGCTAGCTTAGTCCTGTGTTGAAATGGCGGCCATTTTGGCTTTCGATTGAGTGGCGAGTTGTTCCATGCCATTGGAGCTGCTCGCTGTCAGCGTCTCACTCCTTCAGGCTCCAGCAGCCAACCATGTTTCTGAAAAGCAGTCATCAGAAATGTTTTTAAAATAAGTTATGGTCAAGGTCTTGAGGTGAGTCAACCCTTGTGACCTCTTCAATTTTATTTTCCTTTAATGGCAGAAATGTACACGCACAAAAAACTGCTCGAAAACCATCTTGCATTTATATTTCTTCCTCTTGAATCCATTAACTTCAGCCCTGACCAAAGTGATCAAATATTCAGGAGTTTAACCCTTTAAATGCCAGGTCAAATGAATTTTTTTTAACACTGATGACTGGCAAAAATGGTAGCATTTCATGCTATGAGACATTTTCTTCTCATTGAAATGTGGACATTACAGAATTCATGAAAGATTTTATTTTGGAATGGCACAGAGATTAAAAACTGTGGTTTTAACCCTTTCAGGGACAGCGGTTACTACAATGGACAGCTTATCAGGTTATCAGGTTACACTGTAACAGGGGTGTCAAACTCACTTTACTGTAATGAGGGTTTTGGTCACAAGAAAATCCTTACAATATCACTCTTATTTATTACAAAGGAGAAAATGTGGGTGAATTTTACTTTTGAGCCCATATTGCCCTGCCCTTGAAGCATCTTTTCAATGTTCATAAGAATGGCAGGAACCATCCACTCTCTACCACGCAGTAGTGCCTTCACAAATACAAAGTAGATCCCTACCCTCACATTTTTTCGTTCACTCTTGTTAAAAGTTTGGCCTTGCAAATTCAACAGTGTAGTTTATGTGGTGTTTTTAGCAGTGGTAATATAACAATTTGGCCCCAAACTTTTGCCCAAAGTCAGTGGTAATCCATGAAGGAATATTGATAATGTCGTGGTTTGGTGTGTCACATGCAGTCTGTTACATCAGGTGTTAGATAAGACGAAGCAGAACTTTGTTACTTTTGGATGAACTCTGATTGGTTGTAAGGTGTGGATTATTAGCAGATGATTTGCCCCAGTGAAATCCATTACGCTCGTGACATTATCCCTTAAAATCACACCTGCTGAAATGACTTTGGACACACAACCTGCTTTTTGCCAATAATGGGGTTTGCTTCTCATCCACCTGCATGATTTGGAATTGAGTGTCATTTTGGGCTTTCTTGGTGGTCGACTGTGGATGAATATGAAGTACTTTCATCTTGCTGTTTCAAGAGCTCGGTTTAAGAACTGGGTCTGACGACATCTGATTTATTGACGCCAAAGAGGTAGGTTGTATTTCAAATTTTATTGGCTGTACAGTGTTTGTTTTCTTGTTCTACTATTCCTTACCATCAGATTAATATCCTTTTTTTTATGACTTAACATAGTCAAATCAAAGTGAAAAATGAGAAACATCATTTTCTAATTTTCTAAAGTCAGCCAAGATCATCTCTCTCTCTCTTTCTCTCCCTCTCCCTCTCTGTCTCTCTATTTATTTATTTATATACCGGGGGCCCGGTGGTCGAGTAGTTGCATGTTCACCCCGTGCCTACGTGGCTTTTCTCTGGGTACTCCAACTTCCTCCCACATTCCAAAAAAACATGCGAGGCAGGCTGATTGAACATTATAAATTGTCCTGAGGTGTGAGTGTGAGCGCGGATGGTTGTTCGTCTCTGGCTGGCAACCGGTTCAGGGTGTCCCCCTGCCTCCTGCCCGAAGACAAAATATCATATTTATATTTCCTTATTTATTTATTTATTAGTTCATCAGTCGGCATCCCGCGGCTCCGGAGCCTCATGCGGCTCTTTCATCCTTGTAATGCGGCTCTGATTGGCTTGGGAAAATAAATTACTAAAAAATTTTTTTTTGTATTTAATTGAAGTGTGTTTTATTTGTGTTAGTTTTTACATTATTTTAGTTCTAAATTTGAAGACTATTGTGATGTTGAAATATTAAAATATTAATTAAATTATTTGATTATTTTTTTTCGTCGCTCAAAATAGACGTCACACTGCGGAAGCTGGTATACCCGCTGAAACGGCGTCTATTTTGAGCGACTTTCAACCCCGGCAAAGCCAATGGAGAAATGTAAGAAAAGAAAAATATCTCAAGAAAATAGAACATTCAATGATGCCTGGGCAGATTCATTTGCATTTACCTCGGGCGAGAGTGGCCTACCAGTATGCCTAATTTGTGGAGAAAACTGGCTAACAATAAAGGGTCAAATGTTGCAAGACATTTTAACAATACACACAGAGCCTTTGCTGAAAAATATCCAGAGGGAGAAGAGAGGAAAAAAGCTGTTTCGGAACTGATGCAGAAGGCTGACCGGACGAAAAATCAATTCAAGAAGTGGGTGAAGTCTGCAAATTCAACTACATATGCAAGCTTTGTGGCCGCTCAGGAAAATGTGTTCATTACATCGGTAAAATTTAATTTTCTCCGTAGCACTTCATAAGACATAACCACACTATAGTTGTTTATACAAAGTGTAAAGGTAAGAAAAAGCAATATATACAGTGTTATCTTCATTTTCGATAAGATAAATGGATATAAGGATGACGCCTCATGGCATTTTTCTGCTTTCGTTTGCTACATGGACAATTTAAATTCAGCTTTTTAATTTATTTGAAAGAGACATTCATTGTTATTATTTTTCAAGAATTCAAAATGTTCAAAATGTGTTCATTAAATGAATAAAATGTAATTTTCTCTGTAGCACGTGGATTTCATAAGAAACATGCTGCGGTAAAGTATTTGAAAGTTTTTTTTTTTTCATTTTAGATGTGCGGCTCCCAGTGTTTTCTTTTCCGTGGAAACCGGGTTCAAATGGCTCTTTCGGTGTCAAAGGTTGCCGACCGCTGTATTAGTTGTTTCTATATTCATCCAACCATTCTATACCACGCATCCTCACCAGAGTCACAGGTGAGCTGGAGCCTATCCCACCTGACTTTGGGTGAGAGGTGGAAACTGATCGCCAGACAATCAAAGCACATGCAAACTCGAATTCTTTTCAGATCAAAACTGTTTTGTTGTGGAATATTGCCCGTCGCAGACAGCAGCAATTCTCCTTTAAACTCTGCTGCAATATAACTCCTATCACATCACTGTGTGTTTGGGGGGGTCAACTGCCTTTTTTCTGTTTACTCTGACAAGTTTTACTTGCAAATGCGTTCGGGGGCAACGAAACTGACTGAACACATCAGTTAAAAAAAAAAAAGCATCTTTTATTCAGGCCTGAGAGGTTTGATGAAAGCAATGTAAATAAAAAACATGAGTGGGAGCAGTGCAGAGCAAGCCGAGACAAGACACAATATTTGAGCTCGATGTGAGTTTCAGTTCATCTCTCCTCTGACACCAAGCCACAGAAACTCTGATAAATCACCACCATTAAAGTACGCGTAAGCCTCCAGTACTTTTTCTGCTGGAAAGCTTCCACAATCTGCCTTCTTCTGTTTTAACTTCTTAATTACGGGGCTTCGTCCTTCCTGTGTTAAATTTGGATGTTCTCCCCATGCTTGTGTGGCTTTTCTGAGGGTACTGTAGCTTCCACCCACATTCTAAAATCATGCACGTAAAGTTCCTTGAAGACTGTAAATGAATAAATATGAATGTGAGAATGCTTGTCTATGGTATATGCGCCTTATGATTGCCAATTAGAAAATGATCCCGCACTCTGTAAATTAAACACTCGGCAACTTGACTTAATTTCAAACCTGCAGGCTTCTACCCTTGATTAAACCACAAATGTTTACTCTCCTACAGTTGACCCCAGATTACCTGCAGCTCTGTACCATTTTTTCCAATATTTTTCAGTAATTTCTCAGTATTTGTTCAATACATTTCTTCTTTCTTTTTGAGGAGGAGGTGGGGATTCCCCACCCCCACCCCAAAACACATATAGGAGGTTCATCAGTGTTTTTTGTAGACGTGTTTGGGTTTACAAATATGTATGTTTTTTGTGTTGGGGGGGTTCTCTCTTCAGTGGCATTCAATTCTATAGTTTTATGTTGTAATATCAACATTCACCACTAGATGCTACACCTGACTTAATTGTATACTTTCCGATGCTACAACATGAGTAGGCCTAATCATTTTTTGCAGATTTGGAATGACATGCAGGACCAGCATAGTACCTGAATAGTATTCGCATTTTGAGTGACTTCATTCTTGTGGAAAATGCACAGAATGAGCTCTTGCACTTTGCTATTCAGCAGATGTGCTGTCCTTGAATGCGAATTTTTATGCAAGAGAGGCTTTTGCACAAGTAAAAAAAATCATTGTGTGGTTATTTTGTTGCTTGCTTCAAACCCTGTGTTGTGGAATGTCCAGCCACCCAATATCCAAACTGCTTATCCTCACGAGGGTCGCAGGCGTGCTGGAGCCTATCTCAGTTTTCAGCTGTCTTCGGACAGTAGACCGAGTACACCCTGAGCTGGTCGTCTTTTATACATATTTTGAGAAATGTATGATAAAAAATGAAACACATGAGCAGCACGTCCTTTGCACATATAGACAGACATGTTTTACCCATATTGAAAATAGCATTTTTGTCATACATCTGGTTAGGAAGTGCCTGGTCCTATATGGATCCGCCCCCAGTAGAACTGATGAAAAATTGCCACCCCCTCCAGCATTTTAGTTGCCGTTCCCTGATTTAAAGTGTAATTACTGTACTTGGTCATGCCAACGACAGTGACCAACAGAACAGCTCAATAATCTCCCAGATCACATCCTTGCGAATGCTAAGAGGGTTAAAAGGTCGTAGAATGCATAGTATATGCTAAGTAAAGCTTTTTAAATCCTTGGTCATCCGTGCCAGACAGGGGAGACCTCCAGACTATGCATTTATGATCATAATTTGGTACATTGGGACAGTCTGGTTGACAAAATTCATTTACAAGATTAAATTCATGACATTACTTTTTGTATATGACCCACACAGTGGATAAAGGACAGCAACACGGGTGTTGTTCCAGCACACAAAGTAAATACTTGCAACTCGAAAAGCATTATGTTAGAAATTGCGCTTTTAAGAACATTCATTTTATAAAATAAAACTTGTTTTCATGTCATTTTTAGCCATCAGTTTAAATCTTCATAAGCTGCTGTTTTACAGAGTATGTCCAGTGCCTCACTCAATGTCAGAGGTGAAAGGTCGGCGTGATGATGACTGCTTAATCTGTTGAGGCAAAGCTGCTGGTCTGTGTTTACAAGTCTGTCTGGGCTGTTGCTCATCCTTAGCCCACCTCTCCTGCTTAACTTGCAAACACACATCTACATATTGGCAACTGCAAACCATAATAGCACCGAGTTAGCTGTTTTTTTTTTTTTTCTTAATTGAGAAATTTGAAAACACATTTCATGTGGTTAGGTCACAGTGTCAGTGGCACTGCCTCATGGATATACACAGTATGATCCAATCAGGATGTGAGAGCAGTGCAATCATTGTCACCTATCTAATTGCCTAAAAAGTGCAAATGCAGGAGTGAGACACCAGCGGTGTCTTTTATGGCCCTATCTAGCTACTTGTAAAGTCCATCCATCCATTTTCTATCTGCCTTATTGTCATTAGCATTGCAGGTAAGCTCAACCCTATCCCATCTGATGTCAGGTGAGAGCGAGGCTACACCATGGACTGGTCGCCAGGCAATTACAAGACACATACAGGATAGACAAACAACCATCCATACTCATATTCACACCTAAGGACAATTTAGCCAATCTAACATGCATGTTTATGGAATGTTGGAGGAAGCCAGACGAAAACAAAGTGCATACATGAATGCCAGGGCTCAGATTCAAACACCACATCCTCAGAACTTGTTTTTTAGGTCGTCCCGGCCCATGAGGGAGGCTGGCTTTGTTGTATATACTGTACCTTTCACCAGTCCTCACAGACTGCAATGTCATTGTCCCGTATTGTTTTTACTTCACCAATTACTAAGCTGTGTGTGCGTGTGTCTGTTTTTTTTTTTTTGGGCTGTGTGCCTGCTCGTGTTGATAATGCGTGTGACTTCATAAGTAGTGTGTTTTGCAACCCCGCAGAAGAGGAAGATCTGCCGGTTAGAAAGTGTAATTTAGCATTGATGGAAGCGTGGTTACAATAACAATGACGGAGTGACAGACAGGCTGACGCGCCTCAAATTGCCATGTTCTGTCTTGATTGCGTTTCAGGTCCAGCTGGGGTGGAGGGCGTTTCCCTCCTGCAGGTGCACCTGTGCTGCGTTTCCTCATCAAGCCTAGCCTTGTATTGAAGGACTCTGATTTCTGCTACGCCTTGTTGAATTATTGATCTTGCTTGCTTGACGTTGTGCTTCAAGTGTGATTTTTCTAGACCTCTCGATACTATTCATCGTCTCTCTGATTTTGTTCATCTATCCTTGTTTGTAAGTATTTTTGTTTTTGCTCTTTGCTTTCGTGTGATTGGACTTTTAGGGATTTCGTTTGAGTATTCTTGGTGTTGAACCTTGCCTTTGCAAGCGGTTTTGGTTTCATGCAGTGTCTTTCCTGGTATCTTGTGACCAGCAATTTCAGTTCATACTTTGTGTGATTTTCTTTAATAAATATTTTTGAAATAGCACTTTGTCTGAGCCTGCATTTTGGAATCTTAAAACATTATGCGGTTAGGTCAGATACTTGCAACTCGAAAAGCATTATGTTAGAAATTGCGCTTTTAAGAACATTCATTTTATAAAATAAAACTTGTTTTCATGTCATTTTTAGCCATCAGTTTAAATCTTCATAAGCTGCTGTTTTACAGAGTATGTCCAGTGCCTCACTCAATGTCAGAGGTGAAAGGTCGGCGTGATGATGACTGCTTAATCTGTTGAGGCAAAGCTGCTGGTCTGTGTTTACAAGTCTGTCTGGGCTGTTGCTCATCCTTAGCCCACCTCTCCTGCTTAACTTGCAAACACACATCTACATATTGGCAACTGCAAACCATAATAGCACCGAGTTAGCTGTTTTTTTTTTTTTTCTTAATTGAGAAATTTGAAAACACATTTCATGTGGTTAGGTCACAGTGTCAGTGGCACTGCCTCATGGATATACACAGTATGATCCAATCAGGATGTGAGAGCAGTGCAATCATTGTCACCTATCTAATTGCCTAAAAAGTGCAAATGCAGGAGTGAGACACCAGCGGTGTCTTTTATGGCCCTATCTAGCTACTTGTAAAGTCCATCCATCCATTTTCTATCTGCCTTATTGTCATTAGCATTGCAGGTAAGCTCAACCCTATCCCATCTGATGTCAGGTGAGAGCGAGGCTACACCATGGACTGGTCGCCAGGCAATTACAAGACACATACAGGATAGACAAACAACCATCCATACTCATATTCACACCTAAGGACAATTTAGCCAATCTAACATGCATGTTTATGGAATGTTGGAGGAAGCCAGACGAAAACAAAGTGCATACATGAATGCCAGGGCTCAGATTCAAACACCACATCCTCAGAACTTGTTTTTTAGGTCGTCCCGGCCCATGAGGGAGGCTGGCTTTGTTGTATATACTGTACCTTTCACCAGTCCTCACAGACTGCAATGTCATTGTCCCGTATTGTTTTTACTTCACCAATTACTAAGCTGTGTGTGCGTGTGTCTGTTTTTTTTTTTTTGGGCTGTGTGCCTGCTCGTGTTGATAATGCGTGTGACTTCATAAGTAGTGTGTTTTGCAACCCCGCAGAAGAGGAAGATCTGCCGGTTAGAAAGTGTAATTTAGCATTGATGGAAGCGTGGTTACAATAACAATGACGGAGTGACAGACAGGCTGACGCGCCTCAAATTGCCATGTTCTGTCTTGATTGCGTTTCAGGTCCAGCTGGGGTGGAGGGCGTTTCCCTCCTGCAGGTGCACCTGTGCTGCGTTTCCTCATCAAGCCTAGCCTTGTATTGAAGGACTCTGATTTCTGCTACGCCTTGTTGAATTATTGATCTTGCTTGCTTGACGTTGTGCTTCAAGTGTGATTTTTCTAGACCTCTCGATACTATTCATCGTCTCTCTGATTTTGTTCATCTATCCTTGTTTGTAAGTATTTTTGTTTTTGCTCTTTGCTTTCGTGTGATTGGACTTTTAGGGATTTCGTTTGAGTATTCTTGGTGTTGAACCTTGCCTTTGCAAGCGGTTTTGGTTTCATGCAGTGTCTTTCCTGGTATCTTGTGACCAGCAATTTCAGTTAGCTTCAAGTGTGATTTTTCTAGACCTCTCGATACTATTCATCGTCTCTCTGATTTTGTTCATCTATCCTTGTTTGTAAGTATTTTTGTTTTTGCTCTTTGCTTTCGTGTGATTGGACTTTTAGGGATTTCGTTTGAGTATTCTTGGTGTTGAACCTTGCCTTTGCAAGCGGTTTTGGTTTCATGCAGTGTCTTTCCTGGTATCTTGTGACCAGCAATTTCAGTTCATACTTTGTGTGATTTTCTTTAATAAATATTTTTGAAATAGCACTTTGTCTGAGCCTGCATTTTGGAATCTTAAAACATTATGCGGTTAGGTCAGAACCCAACACAAATAGCAGTGATGAACTCTAATTTAACAAAGATGGAAGCACAGTTAAAATAATTATGACCGAGTTATGGCAGATTTGGTCAACTTCAATTAAGATGGACTGATGACGATGCACTGGCAAAATTTACTGACTCACCCACCTGAATGTCACGTCAATGTAAGCCTTACATTTAATGGAAATGGACTAACAAAAGGTTCTTAAAAAAATCGAACGTCCATGATGTCTTTGGCCTTACTGCTGCATCCTAATTGGTCATCACTAGACTGGAAATACTTTGATTTATGGTATAATGTAACATGTAAGGTTGATTAAACCATTCTTGTAAAGCCCACTAGCCAAGCAGGCAGCTTCATCCGTCCATTTTCTATACCACTCATCCCATTCAGGGCCACTGAAAGGTGAAGCGCATCGCAGCCGACGTTGGGTAAAAGGCAGGATACACACTGGTCTGGACATCGGTTAGACCGAGGGCACGTACAGTATAGAGACAGGTAACCTTTCACACCGCCACTGAGTGCAAATTGAGCACACAGGCAAAGGATGTCACACCACCAGTGGCTAAATGTTATCAAAGCATGGTACAGTGACGTTCTCAAACTGGGGTGAGGGGAATGCCGGTCTCCCCTGAGCACCAACTTGAGGTTCCACAAATGAATTTGCAATAAATTATTTTTCATCATGCACATCAATAAACCGAACACAAAAACCAATAGAATAGACCAGGGGTCAGAAACCTATGGCTCGCGAGCCAGATGTGGCTCTTTTGATGAATGCATCTGGCTCGCAGATAAAACAAAATATTCTCGCTTGTTTAAAACCCATGTGTTACAATTTCTACAATTTTTGTAGATTTTTGCGATTGTCATCTTTACATCAAAGACAAAGCATAAAAACTGTGTGATATGAAATATTCCAATTCATGTTTTATTTATATAGATTTATATTTATGTTTTGGTCATAGCACAATACCGCTTTTATTGTCCATAGAGGGCAAAAATACAAAGAAAAAAATAAGAACTATATGTGTATGTATAGCACTGATGCCACTGAACATGTCGAGTGGTTGAAAGTAAAATAAATATTCAGGAATAATACTTTTACAATTTTTGTAAAATTGTATGTTGCGTTATATAAACTTATTCACATCGACTGCAGCACATGGGTTAATCCATCCATTGATTTTTCATTGCTCATGTCCTATTCAGGGCTGCAGTTGGCTCCAGGAGCAATTTGTATTGGATAATATTTTGATATTTTGCTTTTATGGCTCTCTTAGTCAAAAAGGTTCCCGACCCCTGGACTAGACCATCACGTTGGTGGAAACAGTGCATGCTAGCGACGATAGCTAAATATTGAATTTGTTTCACATTGAGGTCTCACATATGTTGCCATCTTGGGTGGTGCTATCCATGACTGCTAGTTTTCTTTTTGCAGTTTTTAATCAAGAAACACACATCTGTAATTAATCCTTGATGCGTGCCACCTTGCGTGTCTTCATTCTGCGACTTCGCAATCATAATTGTACTCATACAATTTGTACAACCTTAAATTCTCACCTTGTATGGCCAAAATATGACCATTTTGTACCCAATCAGCTACATTTGCAAGCAGAGTGTAACCTTAAAAATGACCCACCAAATCTTTTGGGCCAACGCCAATAGTTTGCAAAACTCACCAAAGCCAAGGTTGGGTTCTCCTCACAACCTGGACATGGTTTCAGGGTGTCTTCACCTGAATTTCAAACATTTTCCTCTTTAGAAAAATCCAAGTACTCTGATGGATTAGTGAAGACATGGAAAAAGACACAGCGGAAGCAGCCTAACACCCGGAAGAGAGAAGGCAGGGGGTGGAAGAGTCAGGAATAGCCAAGCGAGATGAAGATTGACAAAACAAAGAAGGAATGAAGCTGGAGAATTTTACCGGAGGAGTGATCAAGTACACGGAAAGATGTGTGGGTAGGAATGTATGCCAGTGCCAGGCTAAGCTTCCTTCCTGCGAGATGCCGAACGAGTTTAGCAATGACCGCACTGGTTCACATGACCATCGACACCGGCTGTAATCCCATAATCCTCTGCTCCACTGCTGCTACCCTTGTCCAAACAAACACTTGACATGTTGGATTATCTCACCTGGCTTCCTCTCTACCTGCAGATACTCACTTCCTCTTGACTTCCACTCTTGTTCTATTTCCTCCCTCTCACTGTCCACCGTTTTATTTTTCACTGACCTCGGTTTAGGACAGTTATGTCTTCACATCGGAATTTGGGGAAGGATCTTTCATTATCCCAGTGCACAAAGCTAAATTCATAAATATTCTGGACTCCATTCTACATGGAACCCCTCTGAAGTCCACACCATCACCCCCTCACACTTAACGTTCTTGGCCATATTTTCTCTGGTTACACTCTGGTAATGATTCAACTTCTGTGCTTAAGTCTCTGACATTTGGAAGCATATTGTTTCCACACCACCGCAAAAAAAAAAAAAAAGTTCATGTGGAATGTGATCCAGTTCTTGTTTCAGCATCGTAAATTTCAAGTTACAACGTGATAAGTTGTCATGTTAAAATGTGAAAATTATCATGTCAATATGTGAAATTTATGGAACTTATTTTTTTTCTGATGTGGCAGCAATATGCTTCTGTATTGAAATGTACTTAAGTAGGAAACACAAAAATGCCTCCTGTGATTACTTGGCACAAAAAAAGTAAAACCTCTCCTTTCTCATGAGTACTTTGAAACAGTAATTCATGCCTTCGTAACATCCCGGCTGGATTACTGTAATGCACTATAAATATAGAGTACTTTGGAGTCAGTCAATCCTCCATTAAGCGTCTCCAGTTGGTCCAGAATGCTGCTGCTCGCCTCTTGACTGGTACCCGTAAGAGAGACCACGTAACTCCTGCTCTGGCATCCCTTCTCTGGCTCCCTATACATTTTAGAGTTCTTTTGAAGATTCTCTTGTTTTCAGATCTTTAAATGGCCTCACTTAACCTTGCCTAACTGAGCTCCTCCACTCCTACAGACCTGCCCGGTGCCTCAGGTCTGCGGACCAGACATGATTAGAGGTACCAAGAAGTAAGTGGAGGCTCAGAGGGGACCGAGCCTTTTCCGTAGCTGGTCCCTCTCTTTGGAATGACCTCCCACTGAACATTCGGCAAGCCCCCCCCTCGCTGCCCATCTTTGAAACTCGTCTCAGAACTCATTTCTATTCTTTGGCTTTTCACTCAGCATGACTCAGACTTGAGTTTAGTTTGACTGTTTTTGTGCTTTCTACTGGCTTCGTTATTAATTCATTGTTTTATTGTTGTATGTATGATATTTGATCCATCGACAGCACTTTGTATACAGCGGTGGTTGTTTTAAAGTGCTCGAGAAATACAGATGAGTTGAGAAAAGAAACTTCTTTGCACATAATAGTTTCCCCTCTTTTATTAGCTTACACAGTGTTCATACTGAGTAGAAAAGGGAGGGAAAAAAATCCACATTGTGAACTCAGTAAAAAAAACAAACGAAATTAGCCTAGCTAGCAATAGCAATTGAATAAGAATCTTATTTGGGTTTTGTCAGATAAGATGGAGTATTTTTGAATGCCACAAAGGGCAGGCATGTTCTTGGACTCAATGTTTTGAATGAATGAATGAATCAATAAATAAATCAAGAATGTATTGTTTCTCCAAATCTGTTAATGCACCCCTGTTGTTGTTCCTCCATGTCACGACTGTACGTGTTTATATTTCTGCTTAATACGAGCCCAGAAATTCAATGTTACACATCTGTTTTCAAATGCAGGGCATAAAAGGTGAAAGTCATAAATACATCGCAGAGGACATGAAAAATACATTAAGTGAAAAATGCATAACAAACAAAACACAGTATTTAGATACTTTCCACCAGTGGCTTGGATCATCTTCTTATATCGGCTGTTGTTCAAAATCAGACGTTCTTGTCATTGTACGAAGAGCTTTAAATATTGAAGAGGATATTTTTAAAAAGTATTGTGCCGTAAAGAAAGTGTACTGTAATTCACCATCTCTTTCATTGTTTGTGTCTCATTTCATGTGTCACCCTGTACCGTATTTCCAACATTTTTTTCATCTCATATCCTTCCCGCCTGTCACTGCGTTATCTGATGCGCAGACATGCTTGCCATTCGTTTTCCCAATACTGTACAGTATATTAATAATAATAACACTTTACAATCAAAACAAGAACAATAAAACCACAGATAAAATTATAAATAATAAATATTACCACTGTTCGCACTGCAGCTCCTTTAAATCTAAAGTCAAACTCAAGGAACTTGGATTGAAAACCTCTCCATTTTCCTTGTGCGGGTCGACTACTGATGATTCTTATCAGTCTGACAAACTTTGAAATGTCATGGTTCAGCCTCTTTCTTTATTCCCTCATGCTCCAAAGTGCACTACAGCACCACAAGACCTTCAAGATAAAAGCATGTGCAGCATGCTAATAGTCTTTACATCGGAAAAATACATTTCCACGGGCTTCTATGTGTTGCCCAGCCTGCTACAAAGTTCTTTCTTATACACTACGTGTATATGGATAGTTGCATTGGAGGTCACCTCCAATGCAGTGGACTCGACTGCATTAATGTATTTTCTTTTTTGTTTGTAGCTTAAATAATTGGCTTGCATTTGAACCATCATGGGGACTGTTTTTTTTTTAAATTTTATTTTATTTTTTGGAATCCTTTTGGGTAAAAGTGAGACTGAAAGGATGCTTAGAGTGAAGTGTGCACTAACACAAAAAAATATCATATTAATAACACACACACAGAAATACTAATCTTTTTCCCCCCCATTTCCCCCGACACCCCTCGCATTCGACTTGGGACCAGTCCGCGGGCTACCGGTCAATTGTGATGGGCACCCCTGGTATAGAGTGTTCAAGCGCTTTGTAGTGCAGAAAATACGGTAAGTCACGGTCACAAATGAAAATCCGGGAGAGAGTGAATCCGCAATAACCGAGGGAACGCTGCTTATTGAGAGTGCACGAATAATTTCACCTGTGATCAGACTGCATGAGAGCGCTCTCTTCACGGCAGAGAGAGCAAAAAGGAACATGCAGCGACAAGGCTTCAAGTGAGCAGTTTTACAGTTTGGCTGATGCTGCGGCACTGAGCTAAAAGATTTGCTGTGTGAAAGCACCTCTTTTGTCCTCTGCGAATGTGACAGTATCCAACTGGAATGCGCCGCTTGCCAAGGCAGCCCAGAGGCATGGCTGCTTGTCTTTGCTGTCCGTGTGGTGTTATTGCAGAATGATAGGGACCCAAAATCTGTTCGCAAGTTGGAAGGAGAAACAAATAATGTCACATTGATTAGCTGGAAATTTAGTCTTCAAATCGGGTCCTAAAGAGTAGTGAAAAAAAAAAAACTGGTGCATCGAATTATCTTTTTCAGTGTGCCATGCACTAAACTCACTGATTTGACATGAATGAAAATGGTAAAAACTGTGTATTGTGATTACCTCTTTTGTACATGTGTAGTGGGGACTACTTTATAGCTGAGCACAGGGGTAAAAGCTCTGAAAAGGATTTGAGCTGGTCCAATAATCCTCAGGGCGCCAAAGGTGGCCTGTCCCCATGGGAGCTGTGTGGGTGTAAAATTGGGGGCTCAGTGGATTTCAATAGAAGGGGAAATAGTGGACACAACATACAACCGCAAGGCAACTCTGCAGAAGCGAAAAAAAAAAAGACAGCCAACACTAAGGGTGTGTGCATCTGTTTACATGAGCAACCTTTTATAATAATCCTCAAAGCGACTTTGGAAAATTTGTAAATTACCGGTAATTTAATTTGAACAGAACACAATTCTGTCTTGACTTCTGAGTTTTTGAGCTACAAGCCATTAATTGGCCTTTTTTTTTTTTGTCTTGCGATTCAAGCCAAAAAAATTGATGTACGAGTGCACTTAAGGGCTCCACAGTGAGATAGCGGCAACAGGATTCACATCTGCCTACCTTCAATTCGCATTGGTTTCCTAGAAGTGGAAGACACTACCAATTGTTGGCGGTAATGCACTATGAAGGGATGGTTTGCCAACTGCCAATAGACAAATAGAAGAAGAAAAAGGACAGGCAAATACCATTCGATGTTAATTATCCCACATTTGAGACGGTCATATTTTGTACTTGCAATTTCTGTTTGCAGGTTATGAGGAGATGAAATGTTTTTACTGATTGTTTTTAAAATGTACCACACTGTTAGCACCATATTTTTCTTCTGGAAAAAACAAAACAAAAATAATTTTGATGGTTTTTTTGGGGGGGTGGGGGGGGGGTTGGGCTGGAATGAATTCATTACATTTCCATTCATTTCAATGGCAAAAGATGAGTTGTGATATGAGTATGGTCCCGGAACAAATGAAACTTGTATCTCAAAGGACCACTCGATGTTAATTAGCCCACAAAACAGTATTGCGGAACCGCTGATCTTGATGGGCGTCCTTTTAAGTTTACCAAAAAAATTCGGAACTGCTGATTGTCAACCCTAACCTATGAGCATCCTCTAAGTGCGGAAGGAAGAAGCCATTCAAGTTTGATGCAGATCCGTATAAAGGACTTTTAGTTTGGCTTGAATCGGAGGCAAATATGGGGTTTAGGGGTGCTGAGCCCTTCGCCAGGCAAGATGCACTCAACCGTTTTATGCATTTTATACGGTGAAAATGACACCGTTTGTGGATAGACACACACGTAAATATGTGTTAGTCCGTGCATCTGGCGCGGGACTTGCTGTTCATACACCAGCAGAGGTCAACAAAACAGCCATGGCGGAACTCTACGCAGCTACGCGTAGCAAACTTTTGGAACAAGGAGGGAACGGACTGCTTTGTTCCTTTTGGTGAGTGACGTGAATGTGAGGTGTTTTATTCACGGTAGAAAGTAAAAGCTGTATTGATGTCTATTTGTGTCACGACTTCCGCGCGTCACCGTTTGAAATCGTGTTATTCAAATGCCGGAGTAACTCTGTCCGGTCAAGTCGTGTCAACGGCATACCTGTCAATTTGTACGTTTTCCCCGTATTTTATACGTTTTTTTTTTATCATTTCAAATAATGTACGGCGTATTACAACTTTTATACGGGGGGAAATAAAAAACAAAAAACAAAAAAAAAAACAATTTTGAACCGATCTCACAAAGACCATTTTGGCTCAAATCCACATCGTCTCATCTGCTGGTAGCCAACGACAATGCCGTCGTCGATCGTTACTATTGTCACGGCAAACCAGCAAAAGTAATCAATTCTCAATCGGATATTTTTTTTCTTCGCTGTGTACGGTCGGATTGATAAAGCATGATGTGCGCATGCGCGATAAACCGTTGTACTAGTTTTTGTTGCTTTGTAAGGGGAATCGTAATCATTTATAAGGGCAGGTATTAGCCGAGGTTGACAGGTATGCAACGGGTAACTCCGAATGTTTCATCAATTAGAATTTTTTTTTACC